TTGTACTTAAGCTACACAATGGGCGTATTTGTTGCTCTGCCCACCGACGGGTATCGAAACCCGGATTCTAGCGTTGTAAGTCCGCAGACATACCGCTGTGCCACTGGGGGGGGGGGCTCTTTTAGTAAACATACTCCATCAAAGCAGTTTTCTGTTTTCGTTCTTTAATCAGTGTGACCAGGCTAAAGAGTTAAAGTCCATTTCCAGGATCGATGTTTTACCTAAGAAAACAGGTCTAATTTGCCAAACCCCTACATGATTACCAAGCACTTTTTTCACAGTGGCTGAAGATGCTTTGCGAACTAATAATTACCAATTTAAAAATGCCACTGGATGTTATACGTCATCCTCACCTATTTACTTCAGCACTACTGACATGTCTGTTGCACAATGGTGGCTAACATCTTCTTATAGCTATACAATAATGGATATTTAAACAGTACCTCCTTTAATTCCCGAAAAGCCTTCTCACTAGTCTTAATTCCACACAACATGTCTTCGTTAATGTTGTCAGTGGCACTGTTATTTTTTCAAACTAAGGAATAAACTTCATGTAATATCCTACAAGACCTAGAAAAACCTCCTTTCTTCGCCATGTGTTTCTTCTAGTCTTTGGTAGCTTTTACATTTGCCTTTGTAGTAACAATCAATCTTTTACACATTATGTTACATAGATACTGTATGCAGTCTATCCAAAGCTCGCATTTACATCATTTAGGTATTAAGCCTACTTACTCAACATGTCTAAAACCTTTTCTATAAATATTAGATGCTCATCCCAATCAATAATGGATATGTTAATGTAATCTATGCAACCTATGACTGTCCCCCGTTGGATCGGCGAGAAGATTACAGATCTGTAACACAAAAAATCGTCGGTTTGGTTCTCTGTGGTGGACAGAATGCAGATAGTTCATTGTGTAGCTTTGTGCTAAGAAAACAACAACAATAAGCTATGATTTACTTCTCAAATATGCTAGAGCATTATTTTATCTCTTGGGAATTAAAATGACCTCAAATAGCCTCTACTGGTGGAAACATTGCTTTTTCTTAATTATGTTCCTCGAACAT